CCCAAGAGGCCCCCAAGAGGGACTCCAGGAAGGCCAGTAAAATGCCAAAAACATTGATTTTCCGCAGGTGTTCGAAGGATTTAGACATTTCCTTCTTGTCGGCCTTGGCCCGAGACGGCCCAAGAGCCCCCAAAGATCGCCGAAAGATCGCCCAAGAGGCCTCCAAGATGGCCCCAGAACGGCCCAAGAGGGCCCCAAGACGGCCCCAAGAGCCCCCCAAATCGGCACAGGAGACCTTTAAGACGCCCAAGATGGCCTCCAAGACAGCCCTGGAGTAGTCCAAGAGGGCCCCAAGTCGGCTGATAGAGGCCCCCCAAATTGCTTCCGACGGCGTCAGGCGGACCAGGAGCCCACCAAGACGGCCGAACATGGCCCTAAGATGGCCCAAGACGGCCCAAGAGGCCTCCAAGAGGGCCTCCAGGAAGGCCCGAAAAGGCAACAGCCATTGATCCCAAGAGATTTTGAAGGATTGTGGCAATTGCATTTTTTCTGCCTTCCGACGGCCCGAGTGCCCCCAAAGATCGCCCAAGAGGCCCAAGCCACGGCCCCAAGAGGCCCCCAAAGCGGCCAAAGAGGTCTCCAAGACGCTCAAGACGGCCTCCAAGACGGTCCAAGAGCCCTCCAAGACGTCTTCCAAGAAGGCCCGAAAGGGTCAAAATGGCCTCCAGACGGCCAAGATTACCTTCAAGATGCCCACGTGTTCCCCGAAGGCTTTCCAAACCGATTCGGGGAAGACATGGTCCGATAGCTTGGCAAGTCTGGCCTCACCGTTCCGCCACATAGGCGCTTCCAAAAAGGCAGGGGGCGGCGGTGATTCGCCGTAGGCGTCTTCGATAGTTGTGGCTCTCGCGAGGAGCTGCTCCTCCACCCTCCTCCCCCCATTCCTCCACCTAAGTCCCCGAGACCGCCGACGGCCACAGCCACGATCGTCACATGCGGCAGCCGTCATCGCCTTCTTCTTCCTCCTCCCCCTCCTTCTCATGTCCTCCTCCTCTTCCTCCTCCCCCGCATCACCGTACGCATCACCATCTCAATCGCCATCATAATTGTGGCAACCGCCGGCATCATCACCATCCTCATCCTCATCATCATCAGCATCATCATCAGCATCATCAGCATCAGCATCAGCATCATCATCGTCATCATCATCACCATCATCATCATCATCATCATCATCATCATCATCATCATCATCATCATCATCATCGTCATCATAATCGTAATCATCGTAATCAGCATCACCATCGTCAGTACAATCATCACCATCGTCGCCATCACGGCCACCATGCTTATCATGCCCATCATGTTCACCGTCATCATCATCACCGTCTTCAGCATCAACACCATCACCGTCATCTCATCCCCTCCCTATCCACGCTCCTCATCGATCCTCATCATCCCGCGTTCCTCTTCATCCTCCTTGCGCTCGCGTCCGCAACGAATGACGTCGACGAATGAAGATGCGCCCTGGAGATAAACGACAAAGCGTCGAGGACGGTCTCAGAACGGCCCAGGGGGGGGCTGTAGACCGCCCAGGGCGGGCCTGACGGCCAAGAACCCCAAGACGGCGAAGAACACCCCAAGACAGTCCCAGAGAGCCCCATGAGAGCTCCAGTGGGTTCCCAAGTTCCCAATGTTGCTCCGCAGGAGTACAAGGCAACCCCAAAAAGGCGCGTGCGATCTCTCTCTCTCTCTCTTTCTTCTCTCTCTCTCTCTATATATATATATATATATGTGTGAGAGCTCCTCCTCCCCATCCTCCTCCTCTCCCTCCTCCTCCTCCTTCTCCTCCTCTTCCCCTCATGCTCTTCCTCCTCCTCCCCCTCCTCGTCTCCCTCTTCCTCCTCCTCCTCTTTCTCCTCCTCCTCCTCCTCCTTCTCCTCCTCTCATCCGACCCTCCTGGCCCCCTTCCTCCTTTTCCCAATTTCCCTGGGGGGGGTGCGCGCGCGCGAGAGAGCTCGTCGGCGGCAGCAGCGACCGACGACCGACGACCGAAGAAACTGGTGACGAGGGTGATGACGAGGACGACGACGCCTGACGACTCACGACGGCGGCGACGACGAAAGATGACGACGAGAGACGCCCTGGATCCTCCGCCTTCTCTCACATCCTTCGTTTTCCCCCACACTCCTCATCGATATTCCTCATCCCATGCTCCTCTTCCTCATTTTCCTCCTCCTCCTGATCCAGCTCCTCCTTGTGTTGATGTCCGCAACGAATGGCGACGACGAGAGAAGATGCGCCCACAAAAACAACCCAAGAGGCGTCCAAGACGGCGTCGTAACGGCCGAAGCGAGCCCCTTGACGCCCAAGGGCGACCGAGATGGCCTTAAAACAGCCAAGAAGATCTGGTGATGGCTTTGGAGGGCCCCAAGATTGCTCCAACGGATTTCCAAAGCTGCCCCAGAGGAGCGCATGACAAACTGCCAGGGAGCGCCTCAAAAACTGCCCAGGAGCGCATGCGAAGCTGCCAGGGAGCGGTGGGAAGACCGGCCAAGGAATTCTTGAACTACAGTCGGGGTCCCGAAGAAGGAACCCTTTTCGTTGGGGAGGGGCTCCGCGTTCCTTAAGTGTTTCGCAGCTTGCCTCAGGTTTCCCTTAGGTTTTCGATCGGAAGTCGAAGTTTAACTTATGGAAAAAGGGGCCTCGTTCCTTATCTTAGGTTCCTTAGGTCAAGGCCCCGACTGTACTGTCATGGAGCGCTTGAAAAGAGCTGCCGGGGAGCGCCCGACAAGCTGCCAAGAAGCATCTGGAAAGCTGCCAAATGGAGCGAGCACGCTGCCAAGGAGCGCCGTGGGAGCCGCCTGGGAGAGCACTCCAACGGAGGAGCGCCAGAAGAACGGCCCAGGAGCGCCTGAGGGGCTGCCAGCGAGCGCCCAAAGAAGCTGCGAAGGGGCACCTGAAAAGGGTAGCGAAGCTTGTCGAGTTCCACACGCCTCAGAACCTAGCCTACACCCGGGGAGTGGACCAGTTCACCGGGGCGTGGACTGGTTCACAAGAGGAGGGAGGAGGAGGAGGAGGAGGAGGAAGAAGAAAGAAGGGAAGGGGAGGAGGAGGAAGAGGAGGAGAAGGAAGAGGAGGGAGGAGGAAGGAGGAGGAGGAGGAGGAGGAGGAGGAAGGAGAGGGAGGGAGGGAGGGGGCGAGGGAGGGAGGGAGGGAAAAGGAGGAGGAGGAGGAGGACGAGGTCGAGGACGAGGACGAGGAGGGGAGAGAGGTGCTCGAGCAGGGGGGAAAGGGGGGGCCTTTGCTGTGGATCGCTCCAAGGCAGGCTCCAGAAGAGATGGCCGAGGCAGGCGCGAAATGACGAATCATAAGGCGACTGAAGTACAATCAAGCCGGGGCATACAACACAATGGAAACCAATGCCAGGAAACACCCTGCTTGCCTCCAGGGTGCCCTGGGTTTCTCAGGCTTCGATGGGTTTGCTGTGGGAGACGTGACGTTCTCACACCAAAAATCAGTGGACGTCCTGGGGTCTCAGGGTTGGGTCTCTTGTGCAAGGTTTCTTGTTGTCGAGCTACCACTATAAGAGCGAGGTCGGCTCGGGGAGCGTACCGTTCCTTGTCGCCCTGCGCGTCTCCGAGGTCAGTCTCCCAGGATCAGGGCGCGCGCCTTTTCTCTCGACGGCACTGCGCGATGGCCGAGTCCCTCGAGGGCCCTCCTGCGAGATCCGAGGGGAGATGGGGGCCAAGTCACCCTTGTCGTGTTACTTGCCGCCCTGGGCGTCTCCGAGGTCAGTCTCCCAGGTTCGGGGCGCGCGCCTTTTTCTCTCGACGTCATTGCGCGATGGCCGAGTCCCTCGAAGGCCCCCCTGCGAGGTCCGAGGGGGAGGATGAGGAAGATGAGGAAAGAGGAGGAGGAAGGAGGAGGAGGAGGAAGAAGGAGGAAGGAAAAAGGAGGGGAGGGAGGGAGATAGGGAGGGGGAGGAGGAGGAGGAGGAGGAGGAGGAGGAGGAGGAGGAGGAGGAGAAGGAGGAGGAGGCGGACGACGACAACGAGGACGTGGCGGAGGAGGAGGAGGAGGAGGAGGAGGAGGAGGAGGAGGAGGAGGAGGAGGAGGAGGAGGAGGAGGAGGAGGAGGAGAGGAGGGCCATGTCCAGAAGAGGGTGGAGGACCTGGCAGCACCAAGGCTCCTCGCCTCTGCGGCTGGACCGAGCTCTAAAGATAGTGGTCGGCTCGGGGAGGGTGGCTTGATGTCCTTCGTGCTCTTTGGGTAGTTGTGTGCACCCTGGGGGGGGGTGCATTCCGAGGTTCTCAATAAGCGTCGGGGGGGCGTCACCCCCGTCGACAGCCCCACATCGACCCCCGTCGCGGGCAGCCACCGCGCGCCGAAGGCGCTCTGACCCCCGTCGCGGTGCGACGACGAGGCGAGGTTGACCCCCGTCGGGAGGGTACGGTAGGTTTGCGTCGTGTTGACCAGCGGCGACCCCAGCGCGGGCGTTCAAGGTTGAACGCCGCCGGCGACCCAGAATCGATCGATGTTGAACGATGTGGACGTTTCGGCAGCGGCCGATCGTTCAAGGTTGAACGATCCCTGCGGTGTCAAAAACCAACGCTGGGGTCGGCACGACACGAACCTGCCGTACCCCCCACACTCATTAAGAAACCCCGTGCCCTCGAGCGGTCTCCCGGCCTTCGGTTTTTTGGTTGGCCGGCGGAGGCTCTCGGGTTCCTGCAGGAGGATGCTCTTCTGCCCGAGGTCTGGCCGTGCCTGCTGCGCTCCCCCGGGTCCTGGCTTTTCTGCTCGGGCAGGGGGGGTGGGGGGAGGGGAGAAAACGCTCAGACAAGATGCATCGTCGAGTTTCGGAGTTTCGAGAAGATAGGGGGAAATAGGGGAAGCGGGGGGGAAGGCACAAACCCCGAACAGATGGGGAAATATGGGGATTCCTGTTATTTGTGTCTATTTGTTTGTGTGCCCCAGGGCCCCTTCCAGGGTGGCGGACGGGGCAGGCGCAGCGGCGGCAAGGGAGGGGGGCAGCCGACGGCGGCCCGCCGCGGCAGCGCTCCTGCGACATGGGCCTGGGCGTCCCGTTCAACATCGCGTCCTACTCCCTGCTGACCTGCATGATGGCGCAGGTCTCGCCCCGCCTCCTCCTCCTCCTCCTCCTCCTCCTCCTCCTCCTCCTCCTCTAGTAGCCATTTTGCCTCCTCCCACCCCCTCTCGAAGGCCCCGGGAGGCCCCAAGAGGCCCCAGGAAGTTCCGCCTCCGGTCTTGGGGCCCTCCTGGGTCGTTCTCGGGCCCTCTGGAAAGCTTCTCGGGCGATCTTTGGGGCCTCTTGGGCTGCCTCTGAGCGTCGGGAAGCCGACGAGGCGAGAACGCCAAAACCTTTCGAACACTGAAGGGAAATATATTGTTTTTCCCCTCGGGGCCCTCTTGGGAGTGCTCTTGGAGGCTTCCTGGAGCGTTTTGACAACCTCTTGAGCCGTCTGGAGGCTGCTGTGGCGTCCTGGGCCGATGATTCGGCGATTCGGGGCCCTCGAGGATCGTCTTAGGGGCCTCTTGGGACACTCTTGCCGCGTCTTGAAGCTTTTCTGGGCCCCGAAACCGCCCGGGTGGGATGCGTATTTTCGGGGCGACCCACCTTGGGATCCCCCCCCCCGGACCCCTCCCCCCCCAGGCGTCACCCCCCAGGGCTCCCCCCCCCCCGGCGGGGAAGGGATCAAAAGGAAGGGGCTTCCCTTCGACTCAGCTGCGACGTTGCTCAACGTCAGCTTGGCTGGCGTGCTTCAGGAGGAGGACCCTGGGAAAGGAGACGGGGGACGACGGAGACGACGATCAACGGAGACGGCGCGGAGACGACGGGGACGCAGATGACGACGGAGACGACGAGGAGACGACGACGACGACACGACGACGAGGGCCCAGGAGACGGGGGACGACGGAGACAGTAATTTCACAGTCGCCAGACCTTCTCCTCCCTCCCTTTCCCTCATCCCCAGGCATCCGGCCTCTCCAATCTGTTCGATGCGTGGGCCCCGGAGGTCAGGCCGACAGCTACCCCGAACGCCGCCGCTCCCGATATTCGGGGAGCGTCGGGACCTCCGGGCCCCTCCCCACGGCCCTTCTCCTTCCCCTGTCGACTCCTGTATCAGGAGGAAAAGAAACACACAGACACAATTAATCCTCGATTCCCCAGAAAATATGGGGAAATATGGGAAGTGGGCGGGAAGACAGAAACCCAGAAAATATGGGAAAATACGGAGAATCTTTTTTATTTGCGTGTATTTATTTGTGTGTGTCCTTGGGCCCCTTCACTGTAGCCTGTCGGGCCCCGTGCCCCCCCCCCCGCCGGTCTCGAGCCTCGGCCGCCTCCCTGCTGCCGATGTCCAAGCGCGCTCCGCTACTCGCAGCGGGCCCGCTCGCAGACGTCCGAGAAAAAACACACGTCTGTTCTGATGCGATCTGTCGCAGATCCCCCGCGGCGGATCCAGGCCATTTGCGAGTAGCTACTTTGCGAGTGGTGGAACGCGCTCGTCTCTCGCCGAGCGGCCATGACCATCCACGCAATGGGGGCCTTGTTCTGTAGCGGGGTCCGTTGTTCCCATTCCCAGATGTCCCGCCCAATGAGGTCTTGCAAACACCTACTCCGAGGAATTTCAACATATCCCGCCTCGAAAACATATGCCCGCGCCTTGCTGCGCCGATGCGAGACCGCCGAAGCGCTCCGCGCGCTTCCGACTGCGCTCGCACGCTCTCGTTGGGAGCAGCGGCACGCTTCTCCAGCGCATTTGGCAGGCGTCTCCCGCAAGCTTCTTCCGAGCCTCGGCCGCCCCTCTGCCGCCGAGGGCCCGGCCAGAACTATGGTTAAGTCGGGCGTGTCCCTCTGCAGGGGGAATGTTCAAAAATAGTCTAGAAACAGCCTGGGGACTATATTTGTTGAGCCTGTTTTCGCCATTTTGGGGCATTGTTTTTGCGTATGTGTTTTTGGGGTTTCGTCCACAATCCCTCTGTACAGTCGGGGCCCTGAAGAAGGAACCCTGTTCGTTGGGGAGGGGCTCCATGTTCCTTGATTGCTTCACAGTTTGCCTTAGGTTTTCCCTTGGCTTCCGAAGGGAGGTCGAGGTTCAGCTTCTGGAGGAAAGGGGCCTCGTTCCTTATTTAGGCTTCCTTAGTCTGAAGGCCACAAAGGACGTACGCGCCCAGCTATGTACATGAACACGGCCCCTCGATCCGCGAGACCGGCCGCGTTATACGAACATTTGCACAATGCGTACCCTCGAAACCAGCGTGGATTCATGTACGTGTACGTCCTTCTTTCGCTCCTGACTTAGGTCAGCGCCCCGACTGTAGGGGGACAGGCCCGACTTGAGACGATGGACCTCCGGGAGCCCCTCCGCGGCGCCGGGCAGGAGCCGCGGGAGGCACCCGCGGCCCCCTGCGCCGCCCCCGCGCCCGCGCCCCCGCGGTGGCGGCGGCGGGCCGCCGCCGGCGCCGGGGCCCTCCTCGGCCTCGCGGCGCTGGCGCTCTCGGCCAGCGGCCTGGCGCTCGGCGGTGGCTCCCCATCTCGGCGGCGAGCGAGGGGGCGGGGAAGTCCTAAAACGACGCGAAGATCGGGACAAAATCGGATCGGGGTATTTCGAAATCTCTGAGGATCGGCGGGTTTGGAGGATGTATTGGGCGCCGCGGCCGCTCCAGAGCGTTCTGGAACGCTCTGAGAGCGCTCCGGAACGCTCTGGAGCGATTTATCCCGATCCTAGCCCTGTTTTAGAGGGGGCGGGGAAGTCCTCCTCCAGCGGGGTTTTGGGCGAAACGTAAGGAACAGCCAGGAGCAGTGCTCGAAAACAATGTTCAAGCATAGTTGGAAAAAAAAGTCGTCCCCGGATTCTGTTTGACTGGTTGGAGTCTTCCTCCTGCAGAGGGGCACGCCCGACTGAAGGGAGGTGCGGAGGAGAAGGTCCTCTCAGAAGGCGGCGGGGCTGCTCAGAGGCCCTCGCGCCTTCTGCGAAATGTTCCGTGTCCTCGGGGAAGGCCCAGGAAACTTCCGAGCCTTCTGAGAAGGCCTTCCCCGTCTCCTTTCCCTCCCCTCGCTCGCCGCCGACTATCGACCGCGGCGGCGGTTCGCGCTCCAGGCGGCGCCGCCGAGAGAGGGGCGCAGCAAGCGGGCCCCATCGTCAGATGCCCGTCCGGGGGGCCTTCCTGAGGCCCAAGAGCACGGACCTGGTCGACTCCAGGTCGAATGCAGTCCAACTGCGGTTCGGCTCCAGCTCGGCTCTGGCCCGACGCAAGCGCGGCTCGGGCCCGCGGACGCTCGACGCCGTCGACGCGGCACCGACGCACGAGGGGAGCGAGTGGCTCCAGTGGAGCGAGTGGCACCAGGAAGGTCCCCGGAGCGAGCACCTGGCCGTCGCCATGTGGCAGCCGCCGCTCGATCGTGGCTCCCTGCCCAGCGCGGCGGCGGCCCGCGTCGCGGACGGCCCCCCCGAGGGCGAGGTGCTGCGGGCGGGCCCGGTCGCGATGTGGCAGGAGGGCGGCGGCGAGGGGAGCTACCCGCAGGGCTGCAGGTTTCGGGTTGGCCCAAAGAGGGGGCCCTGCGGCAATGGGGGTGGTGCAACAGATCTTGCGCAATAGATCCGTGGAGTTGCAGTGCATTCGGGGCGTGCAATCCATCCCGGGGCGCAGATGTATCGCTGGACTTTCGCGTGCCATACGTCTCTTTGCAACACGATGCAGTAGAATTCTCCGGCGCAGTACATGTACAATAGAGTTGCCCCAAATATATTGCACCACCCCCTTTCAGTTGGACACCCTAGTGGGTCACCCAAAAGGTTCTGGTGTGTGGAGCACGGCTCGAGGAACAAACAGCGGCAGAAGCAGGAGCTTTTGGCTGTCCGCGCGGATTTCTGGGACCTGCGCTGGGCCCCCCTGGCGGCGTCTATGCGCGCCAGGGGGGGGGAGGGTCCCGCTCAGATTCAAGAAATTCGAGCGGACCTTCAAGATATATGCTTCTGCAGTTGTTTGGATGCTCCAACGGCCACCTGGGTTCGCTGCAGTGCAACATTTGTGGCTGGTGGCTAGACTTCTGGACAGGTCAGGTTGAGCGTGTGTGCAGAAGGAACCATATTCAACCAGCGGCGTGCGATGAGATCACCAACGCTTTATTGGCCAAGCGCTGGAAGGTCTACTGGTACGTCTGTATGCTCTTTGGGTTAATTTGGCTCGTGTGGTTTACGGCACGCCGATGGAGGCAACAATTCCCGACATATTGGAAGAACAAATGGACATTTGACGTGTGGGCTTGCTTTACAAACTCGCGCGATTTCCATGAGGTAGTGTGCCTTTATGACAGCACGACCAACGAGAGAGCACGAAAAAATGGCGAGACCATGAGGAAACAAGTCCAGGACCTCTTCGATGCGACGACGCGGAGCGCGGACATGGGCGTGGTTGGTGGCGGAAAGAAAGCGTGCACTCCGGCTGGTTGGGTCTATGTTGCCCCCTCGCGCGGGGATTCGGCTGCGAGTAAGCGCTGCCCGTCGTTGGAGTGACCCTTGGTGCGCGGCTTCCGGTGGGCCCGAAGGCGTGACGATTCATTGCCGTTCGCGCAGCGCGTGGCGCGAAGTTAGGTGACCTTGATGAGTGCTCGGGGGGTCGCAATGGCACGTTGTCTTTCCGCCGCCATCCGCTAGGGCTTCGATGGAAGTTTTCAGAAGCACAAGTCCTTCAAGGTCCTGAAGGTAGAGCGCGTCGAGAGCGCGAGGAACTGGAAGAAGTACGCCAAGAACAGGTCCACAACGCCGACTGTCGAACACATCATGGACCAGCTGACGGGCAGCATGAGGAGAAAGGCGGAGCGCGCGCAGAGCATCATCGATGGCCAGCAGGCTGCCATGCGCAAGACAGACACCTCACCGGCGTCTCGGTTCATTGACTCCCTGCGCCTCGACAAGTCTCGGAACGAAGTCCTCTTATGTTCACCGCTCCGCGGCAGACGCGGCCAGACAAGCCCCGCACCCCTTTTGCTCTCACGGGTAAGAGGATGGGGAACGCACATGGGCGTGGAGGCTCGAGCCCGCCGCCCGCGGGTCTGCTGCTTCCCTCGCCCCTGTCACCTCTTCCTTACCTTCATCCTCCACCTCGTCATCCTCCATTCCTTCCTGCTGTGCCTCCTCCTCACCTGTTCTCCTCTCCCTCCTTCTCATCTGCTCATTTGGGTTCAGTGTGTCACAAGACCGCTGTCTGACACCGTGGCACCAAAACCACGCCCTATTTTTGGCGCTCCTCTTTCTATATGGGGCCCCTCTGTGGGGGCCACACAGAGTCTTTTTTCCCCAACCATCCTGTGGTGTTGGGTCTTCGTTTTGAAGAGACGTCGCCCCGCGTTCCTCCTCCTCTCCTCCTCCTCTCCTCTCCTCCTCCCCCTCCTCCCTCCTCCTCCCTGCGTTTCACCCCCCCAGTACAACGTTTCGTGGCCCCATAAGGGAGCTCGCCCGAAGGCGCCAGCGGCAGCGTTCGCATGGCGGCCTCGGGCCATTTCGGCACACCCCTCACGAGGATCGTGGCCCCATAGGGAGCTCCACCGAAGGCCCCAGCGGCAGCGTTCGCATGGCGGCCTCGGGCCATTTCGGCACACCCCTCACGAGGATCGTGGCCCCATAGGGAGCTCCACCGAAGGCCCCCAGTGGCAGGGTTCGCATGGCGGCCTCGGGTCATTTCGGCACCCCTCACGAGGATCGTGGCCCCATAGGGAGCTCCACCGAAGGCGCCAGTGGCAGCGTTCGCATGGCGGCCTCGGCCATTTCGGCACACCCCTCACGAGGATCGTGGCCCCATAGGGAGCTCCATCGAAGGCGCCAGTGGCAGCGTTCGCATGGCGGCCTCGGGCCATTTCGGCACACCCCTCACGAGGATCGTGGCCCCATAGGGAGCTCCACCGAAGGCGCCAGTGGCAGCGTTCGCATGGCGGCCTCGGGCCATTTCGGCACACCCCTCACGAGGATCGTGGCCCCATAGGGAGCTCCACCGAAGGCGCCAGTGGCAGCGTTCGCATGGCGGCCTCGGGCCATTTCGGCACACCCCTCGCGAGGATCGTGGCCCCATAGGGAGCTCCACCGAAGGCGCCAGTGGCAGCGTTCGCATGGCGGCCTCGGGCCATTTCGGCACACCCCTCACGAGGATCGTGGCCCCATAAGGGAGCTCCACCGAAGGCCGCCAGTGGCAGGGTTCGCATGGCGGCCTCGGGCCATTTCGGCACACCCCTCACGAGGATCGTGGCCCCATAGGGAGCTCCACCGAAGGCCCCAGTGGCAGGGTTCGCATGGCGGCCTCGGGCCATTTCGGCACACCCCTCACGAGGATCGTGGCCCCATAGGGAGCTCCACCGAAGGCGCCAGTGGCAGGGTTCGCATGGCGGCCCCGGGCCACTGCGGCACATCCCTCACGAGGATCGTGGCCCCATAGTTGTGCTGCTTCAACAACCGCGCCTGGGCGTCGTATTCCGCCATGTCGACGTGCAACTCGATCTCCTCCCTCATGGCTCTCAAGGCCCTCTCCTGGTTCTTCCCCTCGGCGACAGGGACGCCGTCCTTGTCGTCGCCGGCGCCCGCGAAGACGGCCACGAACGTGTCCCTGAGCATGTCGGGCTCTGGCGGGAAGCCGTGGCCACATAGGGAGCGCGGGAGAAGATGGTATTCACAATTGCGGTATTCCTAACTGCATATGGTTAGGTCCTTCGCCAGGCTAATTGGCCATTCCAGGTCACCTTGGTTGTGGCTCTTTCGAGGCTGTCTTTCTCTCCTTTGAAGCTCTCTTGGAGCCACTTGGAGCCGCACGAAGTACTGTAAAGCCTTGTATCCAAGTGTGGTCAAGTGTGGTCAGCTAATTGTTTTACAATGATTTTGCTCGCCTGGTCTGGGGTTCTTGGGGCGCTCAAGCGGTGCACTCGTAGGTTGTGTTTTTCCCCACCTGGGAGGTCAGGGTCGTGAGGTTTTCAGAACAGACTTCTCGGCCCGACCACCCTACATATCGCTGCCGCCAGATCCCCAGGTCCACCGAGAATCCCCCGAGACGCCCGCCTTGCGCCGACCTGGCCACTTTGCATACCGCGGCCGCGGGATCCCCAGGTCCACCGAGAATCCCCCGAGACGCCCGTTTCGCGCCGACCCGGCCATTCTTCTGTTACCGCAGCCGCCAGATCCCCGACAGAATTGAACATAGTACAACATGATCGAGCAGCGCTTTGCGGGCCATTCTTTCTACAGGGGGGTTATCCAGCCTTCTCCGGGGGGGCTTTGGGCGGTCTCTGGGGGGGGAGGAATTCCCGAGCGCCGTCTCGCCGGTGGGGGCCTGAGCGCGGTGGGCGCGCGCGGGCTCTCCCGCGGTGCCAGCGCGGCGATGCGCCTCGATGCGCTTCGACCGCGGGGGCCAGGATGCCCGCATGGGTAGTAGTGGTAGTAGCTGCCGTAATCTGTATAATTAGGAGTCAAAGTTTTAACCGTATTAGTAGTGAGCCGAGTAGTACTAGTACTAGTACTAGTACTAGTACTAGTAGTAGTAGTAGTAGTAGTAGTAGTAGTAGTAGTAGTAGTAGTAGTAGTAGTAGTAGTAGTAGTAGTAGTAGTAGTAGTAGTAGTAGTAATAGTAGTATTAGAAGTAGTAGTAGTAGTAGTAGTAGTAGTAGTAGTAGTAGTAGTAGTAGTAGTAGTAGTAGTAGTAGTAGTATAGTATAGTATAGTATAGTAGTAGTATAGTCGTAGTAGTAGTAGTAGTAGTAGTAGTAGTAGTAGTACTAGTAGTAGTCTTAGTACTAGT